AAAAAAAATAAAGTATTAACTCTTTCTCAGAGTAGAAGAACATAAATCCTTCCTACAGAGTAATACTTTCCTCATAAGAACCATTTGGAAGGTTTCTGTTCTGCTGACCTGCCCATTTTGGTGACTATCTTATTCAAGAGAAAAACCTATAGAGAAGGCAGACCTGGATTATGGTACAGGCCATCCTCAGCCACATGCTATTTACAAATCTGCCTTCCCTTTGAACTTGAATATCAGTAGAGAGTTGGAGGTCTGCAGATAGGAAAGAGCAGCAAGTTTAGTAAACTGAAGAATTGCACAGGAAATCAACAATTCAGGAAACAAAAGAGACCTTTAAAGAGCTGTAATTAAGATCCTCGAAGAGATTTGAAAGGAATAAGGTAGGGTATTTTTTTAATTAATGAAAAGATTGCCAAAATTAAGAATCCAGAAATGATTCTGAATGATACAGGGGTTATGATCAAAGACCATGGTAGGCCTTGCACAGTGGCACATTTGTCTAGCCCTCCGAGCATTTAGGAGACTGAGACAGGAAGATCTTAAGTTAAAGGACAGCCTAGGCTACATAGCAAGGCTGTCTAAAAAGAAAAACCTAAGTTAGACGTCTGGAAAAAAAAAAAACAAAAAACCTCTAGAATGTGGTACAAAAATACAGAGATGGAAAAAGATTAATGCAGGAAGTCTAACCTCTACTTAATAGGAGTGCCCCGGGGAGGAAGAATAAGGTGAGAAGCAGAGAAGACAAGTTAGTAAGGAAGATAGGCCTTTCCTCATCTGCAATGTAAGATACCCTCCACCACCAATGTCTGGAACTGTGATTATGTTCCCAGGCACAGCAGCGTTCAGGAGTGAAGCAAAGCTTAGTTTCTCACATGCAGAGACCCACAGATTGCTTCACTGATATTCTCTGCAGCAAAGTAAGAAATGGATTTAAGAACAATGTGGGGTACTTGAAACAGAGTCAATAAAAATTAAATTTGTGAAGAGGTCTAAATTATATGCATTTACTATACAAGGAGGGTTATTGGGAGACAGATAAAGAAGAGAGAGGACAGAAGTACTTTAATTTACTTTGCTGGAGGAAAGTACCAATGCTGACGAATTGTACACTTTGTAATGATACTTGTACTACCTATGCATGAACTATTTAAACAGGTATGTCTTTGAAAAGGGAGATAAGTCAAAAGAGAAATAAGTAGTAGCTGAGAAAATGGAAAAGTTTGGAAATAAAACTATAGCCACAGTAAGTATGAATGGATTCAATGCCTCTGTAAACCAATGCAGTAGATAGTTTTTGAGAGGAAATCTTATGAAATGTGGGGAAATCATGACATAAAATGAAAGCAAGTAGATTTAAAGATGCATGCCATGAGCATAGGAATATTCATGTCAGACCAAGAAGAATTTAGAGATTAAAATAACATACAGAGCCAGGCACTGGTGGTTCATGCCTGTAATCCTAGCTATCGGGAGGATGAGATCTGAGGTCATGGTTTGAAGCCAGCCTGGGCAGGAAAGTCGGTAAGACTCTTACCTCCAATTAACCACCAGAAACCTAGAAATGGCATTGTAGCTCAAGTGGTAGAGCTAGCTCACCTTGAGCTGAAGAGCTCAGGGACAGCATCCAGGCCCAGAGTTCAAGCCCCATGACCAACAATAGCAACAAGACAAAAAGCTACAAGTGGTAGTGTTACTAAAGAGGTAAAGTACCAGTCTTGAGTGAAAAAGCTAAGGGAAGCCCGCAAGTCCTGAGTTCATGCCCCAGTACCAGCACATAAAAACAAAACAAAATAAAATAGCATTCAGTGGCACAGAGGCTTTTATGAATAGTGATAAAATTCTTTGTCAACCTCTGATGATGGTTGGTATATTAAAAGTTCTCAGTTTCAAAGGTTGAAGAGAACATGAAATTTTTCTCCTTCCTATGGGAACTTCAGCCCACTGCCCTTACTTAGAAACTGACATAAATAAGGACACAGAGGAGATTCGGAAAACTAGCTTTCTCCTAAAAGAATGATATACTAACTTTTAAACTGTAAGTAGAGAAAAATCACATTCCTTATGAATACTTACAAAAAGAATCCAGACCCAAAGCTTGATTTTTGCAGTCACATTTTCTTTCCATTGTGAATGGTACTCTGTCCTCCCAATTGCTGACCCCTTGAAGATACACTATGGTTTTTATTGTCTGAGGTGCCCCTTGAATTGTTCCTGTCACAGCTGTAGTGGGTGGCCACCAAGGATGCACCTTAGTCTCAGCCCTTCCTAATAAGCAGGCTACTAGTGCTCTTCCTGTCTTCTAGTCATCCTCCTCTTTATTTCCACATGCTGTGGGAGCAGACAAAACTGAGGCCACTTCATGAATGTACCCTTAGCCCTTGGAATCTGGGAAAACCAGGCAGATTGACTTAGGGACTTAGTCAACTCTAGCCTGGTATCAGCAGCTCTGGTTAGCAAGCTTTTTCTAGTATCTGCCACTCTGCCAGCCTTGCTTTGAAGCTGCCTCCTGCAGGTCTCCAGATTCATTTAGCAAATCCCTATATCAGAAATGTCTTCTCTACAGAGATGTTCACAATTGCTCCTAGGCCCCTAGGAGTCATGGAAGCAGAGAATGATGTGTGTTGTATTCAGGTTGTCATATTCCAACATCCTTCACAACACTAAACCTTTTTGTCAGACAACTACTCTATACATTCTGCACACCATTTCTGTCCCAGTAGTAGTATCTGGTCTCCCTGCTGCCCCTTCACCAACACTGCTCTCTCTACTGGATAAGGACTGTTTATCAAAAGTACCACAGTGGAAAGGCAGCTCTTTATCCACTTTCTTGCTCAGATGTGTTTCCCAGTTACACTTAGACATGCCTGCCCACCATTGTGTGAAGGATTGTATTGCATGTGGAAAGCTGACTGCCTGCTAAACTCTTTTTAAACCAGGAAGCGAAACAAAATCGGTGGTGTGAACACAGTGGGTTTCTAAGCATTTTTCGTGTTTCCTTCCATTATGTCGGAGAATAAATTCTTGGCTCCAAGTTAAAATAATGCCTCCAAGCTAATAGGAAACTCAGTGTGACTTACCCAGTGAAGTATTGAATATAAAGTGAGCTTTTTCACATGCAAAATTGTAGAGCATTTTATAACAACTGTTACTTAAAATTAGTGTTTGAGGAGCTGAGTAAAGATGGGAGAAAAGAGATTGTTTTAGTAATGTAAAAACAAGCATGTAGAATGTAGATTCACGCATGCTCACACTCACACTGTAACTTTTAAGCTGTCTGTTAGAAGGATGAGATGTAGTTGTGAGCCAGACCATGCTGGTTTGGACAGAAAGTCTTACAGAATTATTAAGCCTTAAAAAAAGCAAGGGAGATTTATGCATCTGCATTTGACCATTTTGGTTTGGAATAGATTCATAATGGAAAAGTAATAAAACCGTAAGAGACAGTGTCTTCTGAGTATAGTCTCACTTTTAAAAAATCTAAACATGGTTGCCCCATTTTGGGTAAAAATGACTGTAGAAAAAAATTACCCATTGGCAATTTTGGGAGGGATTATTGTTGCTGATTCTTTTTCATTGATTATCAGCCAGTGTAAATTTTAAGCCTCTGTCAAATGTTTTTCTAGAGACATCAGTCTTTGGAGAAAGTAAACCTAAAATATTATATGTGTGTGCGTGCGCACACACACAGTGTTTGCTTAGCTATCAGAACAGTATTTCTGGTGTAACAGAGAGGCTAGGTTTGGAGGATAAGTGGGTGAATGTACGAGAGAAGGCACCTCCCGTGACTGCCAGCAGCCAGAAAACCATGAAGAGGAAACACATAATAAGTTTCACCTCTAAAAAATCAGACCTAATAACTTCGTGAGGTTCTGATTTCAACAGGAAAGCAAAAAACATTTTTGAAAAACCACTTTCCCCATTTGTTCCCAACCACTTGAAGTAGTGTTCCTGGTGAATAGTTGCTTAAAATTACTTAGGTATTTAAGAATAGAAACAGAACAAATGATGGCTGTGGATAGAGGGAGCAGGGGAAAGGGTGGGGGGCAGAAGCTGTCATATCTGAGCTTCCCAGAGAGGACAGCAAAATAGGCCTTTTATTGTGCTGGCTTCTTAACTTTCTTTCCACGGCCAGCAGTTCAAAGCACAGTTATTTTTATATAGTGAGAATGTGACCAGACTGAGATGGTGCTGTCTCTCTCCTACAGGTATGCCTGCAGCATCTTTAGTGACCCCTGCTGATGTTATCAAGACTAGATTACAGGTGGCTGCTCGGGCTGGCCAAACCACTTACAGCGGAGTGATAGACTGCTTCAGAAAGATACTACGGGAAGAGGGTCAAAAAGCTTTGTGGAAAGGAGCTGGTGGTATGGAAATAATCAGTTCTTAACTAGCCCTTTGGTATCAGGTAAATTTAAAAAAAAGAAAAATCTAATGATATCCATAATTCCCCCTTTGTTTTCAAAGCTCGTGTATTCCGATCTTCACCGCAGTTTGGTGTCACTTTGCTGACTTATGAACTGCTACAGCAATGGTTCTACATTGATTTTGGAGGAGTGTAAGTATCTTGTGAAATCTGCTGCTAAGTTTCAGCTGTTTCTGACACTCGGCTCTCTTTGCGGCAAGAACATTAGTGTAGACCCTATGGGGAAACAGAAAAGACTTAGGAAGGAAAATGTTTACAAGATTATTTCAGAGCATACTGCTGACATACAGCTCCTTTACCTTAAATATTTTAACAGGTTTTAAATGTTATTTTATACCAAGTTTAGGAACCCACAGATTCTTACTTGATTTGCTCTCTATTCTTAGAAAACCCATGGGATCTGAGCCCGTTCCCAAATCCAGGATCACACTACCTGCCCCAAGTCCTGATCACGTTGGGGGTTACAGACTGGCAGTTGCAACATTCGCTGGGATTGAAAGCAAGTTTGGACTCTACCTACCTCTCTTCAAGCCATCCACGTCTACCTCAGAAGTGACCAGTGGAGACCCCTAGGCAGACTGCTGTAGGATGCAGTCTCCAGTAGTGTTGGTACTGCAGGAAGAAGTACCCAACCTGTGCTGAAGCAAAGCTTCACACTTTTCCTTTCTATTTCCTGCTAAAATTCAGGTCAAAGCTTTTTATAAAGTGAAATCATTTATTCCCTATGTGTTTTCTTAACTAGATCATTATGGAATTATTCTTAATTATTCTTTGGACCTCTTCCCATGGGTCTATGTTTATATCTTTCATGTGCTGGGAGATTTGGTCAATACTAATATAATTTCAGGGAAGGGACAAGGCTCATTAGAAATTAGGGCTCCCCTTCTTGGACTAGAATTACAATCCCAAAGAGACTACCAAAGGGTAGTCGAGAGGGTAGAATGTTCTGTATGTGTTAAAACTGCTAGGAAACTGGGTCCATATTTATAAAAATGAAAAGCATTGAAAGGAACACACACACATACACACACACACACTCAGAGATATCAGGAATAGCCAGCCTGGATTCACATTTTAAACATACAGAAATTTTTGTCTCTGGATTATATTATGAGGCTTTTATGTGAAACATGTTTCTTTGTAATGCAAACCACATTGGAGATGTTTAGTAATCGTATTCCGTTACTGGTATCAAGACTACGAGGGAAAAGTTCTTGCAGTGTGAGGAAGTGCTTTTGGCATTTTTATTATGTAGACAGAGAAGCTGAGACACAGTCTCTCTCTTAGATGTTCTAATTTTTGATAACTACTGTTATGTTGCACATGTACCGATTACTGCCAATCTCAATAAACACTGTAAAAAAAAATACAGGAACCCTATTGCCCCTACTGGCCCTACTCCTCTCCTGACACCACCTCCGTAATTGGCACCCATTTGCTTTTAAGATCCACTTTGTCTTGAATCATGTAAGACAAATAAACTCTAAGGTTTTATTTAATCTGTGGTGCCTTGCATAATAGTCAGAGGCTCATGTATTTTGAAAGTGGAAATAAACTATTTTTCAAGCTATTGAATTGTTTCCTGCTATTCAGTTGTCATAAATTGAGCATTCTGCATGTCAGGATTTGGGGGAGATTGTATTCATATTGGTGTGATCATTCGCAGTATTATATAACCTTCATTTTATGGTTCAGAATAATTAGAAACTACATTTGAACCTAGATAAGCAAAGCAATAGTGAGTGAACACTTATTCTAGCCATCTCTAGCACTATGAACATGATGATTAACATCATAGAAATTTTCAGTACGTGTTGGACATGAAAACTAGTATAAAAAGGTATCACTAAGTTATAGGGTTGGAGTCAATACCATCTATAAATCTTCCACCAGTTGAGTTTGCTTGTGTTCAAGTGTTATCTTCACCAGAAATGGGACAGGTATCTAATTCCAACTCTCCCTCCCTCTCCCTCTCCCTCTCCCTCGCTCACTCTCCCTCCCTCCCTCCCTTCCTCTCTCTCTCTCTCTCCCTCCCTCTCTCTCTCCCTCTCTCCCTTCCTCCCTTCCTCTCTCTCTCTCTCTCCCTTTCTCTATTTCTCTCTTCCTCCCTTCCTCCCTCCTTCCCTCTCTCCCTCCTTCCCTCCCTTCCTCCTTCCCTCCCCACCCCCCCTGGTCAGTCATGGGGCTTGGGCACTGGGCCTGGGCACTATCCCTGAGGTTTTTGGTCAAGGCTAGTGTTCTACCACGTTGAGCCACAGCTCCACTTCCCATCCCATTTTTCAGTGGTAAATTGGAGATGAGTTTTACGAACTTTCCCACCCCCGTTGGCTTTGGACCACGATCCTCAGATCTTAGCCTCCTGAGCAGCTAGGATTAAAGGTGTAAGCCACCAGTGCCATCTCTTTCTGGCAAAATTAATGGTTGACTTCCTCCTTACTCCCACCATATGATAAATGATAAATATATATAATCTCAAAAACCATTCACAAATCTCCAGATAGGTATGTCTCAGAAATGTGGATGGTATTATGATGACATAGCATCTACCTTTGGTCTTTTTGAGTGTAGAGTCATTGAGTGTAGAGTCTGTATTTCTTCGCTTTACTAGCTCAACATTTTATACAAGATCATATTTTCATGGCAGAAACACTGACCCAGATGTCATAAGGGTGCCCTGCTCTGACTGCTGCTTTACGAGCTGTTGGATTTGATGGGGGAGCATCTTGGCTTTGCTTAGACTTACCCAGAGCTCAGGGTGATACTCCCTAATAAACAAGAAACCAGAGGCCCCAGAAAGCCAGTGGAGATAGGGCCACATGGCTTGTGTTTCTTAACAAACAAACAAGAAAACCTTGGCTCAATTCTGTTTAGGGAGAGGCAGTGACAGGAGGGACTGAAGGAGGCCTAATTTCCCTGAGTTCTGCTCCGTGGGTGGTGTGCCTGTGACAGGCCTTGAATAGGACTGCAATCACCATGTGGTGGAAACCATGTGAAATTTGTTCTGGGTTTCCCTTCTCCCTGAAGTGACAGCACATCATGTAGGCAGTGGTGCAGCAGCTGTCAGTGCCTGGGTCATGTCCCTCCGTGAAGTTGAGGAACTGGAGGCATGTTGCTCCTGCATGCTTATGTGCCTCCTTGATGGGGGGGGGGGGGCTCTGCCAGCCCTGGAGTCTTTCAGCTCTGCCCTTGGTCCACCTCATGATTACTTGAGGGGGAGGAGGGGGTGGAGACAGGCCTGACTTTTGTAGCAGCTTTTTTTTTTTCATCTTTCAAGGAGGGGAAAAAATGTGAAGCTGACCACAAAGTGAACACACTGATTCTTGGGTTCCAGTTGTGGCTGGGTTTCTTGAGGCTGGGTGGCACACTGTCGCCAAGCCCCCGCTGCACCTCATAACCCACAGCCATTTGCTGAGTTCCCTGGGGTCGCCTTAATCCCAGCTGCCAGGGTCGCACAGGGGAAAGTAAGAATTCTGGCACAGAAAAGTCATTTCAATGCTTATTGCATTTCAAGCTTCAGTTTTTACTTAGCTAAAATATTTACCATTGCTGGAAAACAATGTTTAAAATTTTGTGCCTATATGTTATTTAATGGTGTGGCTTATGTAAACCTTGGGATGCTTACGTTTTGACAGTGTTCTGGAAATGTTTAACAGCACATAACCAGTGAGCGGGGAATAAAAATGGGAACAAATTGTGCTTGAAAGAATGTGTAACCTCCTCTGACTGGGTATTCAGAATGCAAGCCACTGGACTCCTCCTTCAGGTAGAGGAAGATCTTCAGTGATGGAATTTGAACCCTGACTCGGAGTTCCATTTATCAATCTAGATAAACTCTCCTTCAAAGTCTTTGTGTGCCTTTGCACCACAGAAGCCATACTTGTGGGTGAATTTGTATCCTTGCCACTGAGCAAAATCCCATTTTAAATTCAGGGTAATCAAATGCTTTCAGGATGTGGATTTTTCCAAAGATTTCTAAACGACATGTTTCTTGGGCAGAGCAGTGAAATGTTTCTACAAATGGTACTTCCCGCAAAGGGGTATGTGCCTTTTGTTTTTACCTTTGGAAAAAAGTCCTGCCCCAAAGTGTTCTGTAATTAGTGTTAGGACGACCATAGTTGTTAACACAACTCTCTCAGAGTCATCCACCAGCAAAGTGACCTCTGTTTTTCAACAGTGGCAGGCTTGATCCTGCATCGAGAATGGGGCCCCCAAATGATAAGGGGAAGGGGGTTCAGTTCACTTATTGGGCTCTTGTTATTTTGAAGGATGACCTAACAAATGGATGAATGTTTTGGAAATGTGTTTTCCCCCAATTTTCCTTTATAACCCTTTCCTGCTGCTAGAGTTAAAACAAGAACATAGTCTTATGTATGGATCACTTTAGAAATCATAACTGTGTCTTTTACTAAAGAGTAAAACAACTATAGTTATTTGAAATGGGTTTGATTACTTTCAGAAAGGAGCTGACATGTAAATTCTAAAATAAATTTAAATTCTCTAATCATTATCAAAAATAGAGCCTAAAAATAACCTACATCGTTTAATGTGAGTATTCCTTTGGGAGATATATCATGAGTGGTTTTTCTAAACATATAGATTATATAGAACTCTGTGTTTATAGCTCATTCTTTAAGAAACTACTGAGGATGACAACAACACTCTTTCAGAAGGGGTTTGTTTTTTTGCTAATGCATTAATTGACTCAAAAAGAGTCCATATGGAACACTCTGCTTTCATCTGCCGGGGTAGTCCAATAAAATAATGTTTGCTTTGAGATTCCCGGCTGTTAAGGGGGTTTTGCTCAAGGCAAAAACCACAGTCCCCTCAAATAACTTTAGGAGGAAAATTAAGAAGACACAGTAATTGTGCTTGTCAGAGGCTCACTTCTTCTGGGTCACAGACACACCACAAGCACACTGGTCTGGCCACCATGGCTCTGGCGCCTACTAGAACTCTCAACCTTCCAAGGATGCTTTGTCAGCAAAGCTCTCACAACAAACTTCTACAAGAAGACGGGAGAAAACAAAACACATCATGATGAAAAAAGATGCTAAAAACATGAAGGCAGGGCCCGCCATTTCATACCTCTTAATTTTAGCTCCTCAAGAGGCCAAAAACTAAAACGTTCAACTGGCCTACCTCAGCAAAGAAAGTTTCCTATATCCAAAATAATCAGAAAAAAGCAGGGCCAGACACGTGGTTCAAGTGGTAGAATGCCAGCATAGCAGGTTGAAGCAAGCATGAGCACATGCACATGCGCACATGCACTCATGCGCATACACACACAACATGAAAACAGAAAAATCCTTTATCTCCCATCATTCTCCTCCCACCAACCTGAACTATTCTTTCCAGCTCTTTTCTCTGCCTGAGTTGCTTCCAAACAGGTGAATCTTGCCCCCACTTGAGCTTGTTTTCCTGTAAAGACTCAATAAGGAACTATCTCACCTCCTATTTGTCATTGCCAGCATGACGGGCATGATCTCATTTAATCCTCCCCACAATTGCAGTAGGTCTGATGCTTTCTGCCATGTTAAAAGTGAAACAACACAAACAAGAATTGATTTGGCATTCTTGCCTGCAGTCTTTCAACTAGCCATTGATGGAGTTGAAATTTGAATCCAGTATCATGGCAGCCTGCCCTCCCTCCCCTATCAAGTATGACTCTATATTAAGAGATGTGTTCGTTACTTTTGCGTTGCTGTGACAAAATACCTGGCATAGCTTTAAGGAGGAAGGATTTCGTTTGGTCACTGTTTCAGACACAACTCCATGTGTCTGGGCCCAGGGTGAGGCAGAATGTAATGGTAGGGAGCTATTCACCTCATGGCCAACAGGATAGAGAAGAATTTGGGACCAGGAATAGCATTCAAAGCCTAAAGTTTCCAGAATTGCTACCAAAATTGTTTCACCAGCCAGTGACCAAGCATTGAACACATGATCTGTAAGGAATATTTCCTGTGGTTCTCAGAATCAGATGTATCATCCTTAGCCAAATCTAGGAGGCAACAGTGGTCTCTGATTTTTTTTTTTAATCATTGTAAGTATAATCACTACTGCAAAGTATTCTAGGGCCTGAGGACCAGGTGAATCTTGACATGCCTTTTGAGGTCCCTCTTAAACTATTTTACAGCCTTTTAAAGTCAGTAAAGAGAGGATTAAGGTAAACTTGAAGCATTTGCCCCATGGGTATAGAATTGGAAGGTAATGTGGAAAAACCAGAGGTAAATTTACAAACTGTTACATTGCAACCTGATATGATGCAAACTGAATTGGATCATCTTAGGAATCTCTACTATAATTAGAAAATGCCATTCTTCAACAAGAGTTGGAAATAATGGAACACCAAGTGAAAAGTAAATATCTATAGATAGTTGGCCTCAAAGTGTGTCTGGAGAGAATGGAAACAGTTTACAGAATATGGAATTTTCAGGGGTTACTTTTGAACGTGAAATCTTGGTTTCCAGTAATGGTAGAAGACTTATTATATTCCCAACAAGTTTTCTGCTACTATAAAGTTAAGAAGGGCATACCTACCATTTCATTCTTACAAAATGAGATTACTGTGGATCTCA